CTGGCTGGCATGTGGTTCTGGGAGATCGAACCGCAGTCCCTGTGCTTTGCCAAGCTTGTTCCAAGTAGGTGCCTTAGACCACTGAGCCATCTCACCAGCCCCCATGGGAGATTGTTTTTAGACATGGTCTTGTTACGTAGTTCAGGCTGGCCTTGAACTAACTATATAGCCTAGGCTGTCCTCGAACTTGTGGCAATCCTCCTGCTAATTTAGCTTCCCAAGTGCTGGGATTATAGGCATGTGCCACCATGCCTGGCTAGAAATTTTTCTAAATTTTTTTTTTTTTTTTTTTTTTTTGGTGGAACCGGGGATTGAACTCAGGCCCTTGAGCTTGCCAGGGAAGTGCTTACTCCACTGAGCCATCTCACTGGCCCCTACATTTTGTAAACCTGGGCTGGCCAAATAGCTCAGCAGATTAAAGGGCCTGCAAACAGGCGCAGGGGCCAGGGGGTTCAATTCCCGGGCCTGCCAGGCCAGCTCTGCCCCTGGGGTGCACTGAGACGCAGCTGAGACTGGGCATGGTGGCGTGTACCTGTAATCCCAGCTCTTGGAAGGCTATAAACAGGCAGATCACTACGAATCCAATCAAGTAGGGAGACCCTGAAAATCCTGTAGACTCTACCCTAAAATACAAAAAAGAAAATACAAAAAAACCATTTCTTTTTGTATATCCCATAAAGGCCTAAAATATACATGTAAAAAAAAAAAAAAAAAAAAAAACCCCACAAACCCAGAGAAACATGAAAAACTCTTTACTTTTATTACATAAAAATAATGTTCAGCAGCATAAGTGCCTGTCTGGCAAGCACAAGGTTGTGAGTTCCTTTCCTGGTACAAAAAAAATCTAGGGGCTGTCTCAAAATAACCTGAGGGCTGCCTCTATGAGGCTCTGTCTAAAAAAAAACCCAACCAACCAACCAAACAAACAAAGTAACTAAATAATCAAATATTCTGAATTAATAAATGCAAGTATGCCTATCTGCTTCCCTCAGGGGGCTAGGGAGATGGCTCAGTGGAATAAGT